GCAGGTACAGGGAAACTGAGCCTGGGTCATTGTCACGTTCCCATTCCCATCTAGGACAGGGCTGTCAGGAGGAGAAGGCCAGTGGCCATGTTTATCCACAGCCTCCAGGATCATCTCCTGTCCTCCTGGGTGGAAGTCTGGGACAATACGTTTTGTCTTTGAGGAACATAAGATTATGTTGTTTAACAAAGTGAATCCTGTGGTTTCTCAGAGCCTCAGACTTTCTCCAGGCTTCTGGGCTCTGCCCCAACAGAGCTGTACACATGACATTGGCTTGGAGCTGGCCCCTGGGCCCTGTTTGTCATGTCCCTGCTCCAGACATGGTACCCACAATAACAATAGGTATCTGCTCTGGTGCAGGGTGTGTCAGCAGAAGGGACTGTATAGAGGCCCATAGAGTACTGAGGGTTATTTAGGGTCAGATTAACCATTTAAGCACATCCATCCAGGACTTGTCAAACACTGCAACTGTGCTCCTTCTCTCAAGGAATCTAGACTCCAAGTGCTCAAATACCATATGCTTTGTACTCAGCTTCTACCTTGTCACAGGCAAGGTCATTGTACACACATTGGTGAGAGAAGGGGAAATGGGACACAAACACAAAGTCACTTCATTTCTTGGCATGATTGAATTCTGTCATTGTATCTCATATTCATCCCTAGGCCTGGTGTCCATGCACCATTAGCTGGCTGTCTCTCCATCCTATCTCCAGCTATTACACATCATCAACTCACCATAGATGTGCTCACCTCAAATATCAGTCCACTCTGTCCATTTCTCTGGCACTTGACTTACAGGAATATTTCAGGCACTGCACTTCCTATCATAGGAGCCTCAGGGCTAAATGAGCACAAGAAAAGAGCAGTGAACAGAGCTGCTCACCTTCCATGGCTATGGAAGGGTAACTTAATTCCTTCTGTGGACATTCTATCGGGAAACTGGGAAACATTCTGTGGGGCCTTATTAATGGATCTGGAAATCCAGAATGATCCTCCATTTTCTTCTCTCTAAAATTGGAGGCCTTCTTAAGACTCATAGGTTTTGTTAATGCATAGACTTCTATTCTGCCTCTCCTCTATCGAAGTGATATGAGCATGGTAGTATTCCTTAGTGAGCCCTGTATCACAAGCCTCTGTGGGCCATTTGGCATGTGGGCTTTGCTTCAGCTCCAACCCATCTGAGAGGTCATGTGCATGACACCAATTCCATGTCTCTCCACTGTCTCATCACAGATAGGAAGTCACCCAGCAGATAGCCTGGCAGAGGTCTGTACAGCAAGCCAGGTGGAGGCAGATGGACCTCACAGCCTAAAGGAGACTCTGGACTTAGCCTTCCTGGACAGCTGCCCAGCTCCAGCCATTCCTCTCTGGCTTCCGCCATGACTGACATCTCAACCCTGCAGGCACCAAAACTGAGAAGGTGAATTCTTACCTTAGCAGCCCAGTAAGACTTGGCCACCTGCAGATTCAGGTCCTGTCCATGTGCAAGTTGATCACTCAACTCAACTTTAGAATGCTGAATGATGAGGTGCTGAGTGCATTGAGAACTCAGGGTCACTGGGGATGAAATGGGGGCTCCATGCAAAGTGGTTAGCTGTGGCCTTGGCCCCATGAAGACGTACAGTAGAGGCTGTGCTGATTCCCATGAATGATCTTCCGTCCTCTTTACTGACCAACACTTGAGGGAAGCTGTTCTATTCTTGGGAAAGGAGATTGTAGAGTCAGTATATTGGCCTCAGGGTTTGTTCAATGCAGGAAACCCTGAGGACAGCAAAGAATCCATGACTGTCACATATCATGGAAGAGCAAATAGGTGTAATCATGCTACAAATACACACGAAGACACACTGTGTGCAGACACATTTCAGGGTATTGGCCATGACCTTGTAAGCAGGGCAGATGCAACTCCTGCCCTTTTGAGTTACAATGTTCTTTGGAGGCCACAGAGTCACCATTTGCAGCAGAACAGATATTGCTCACCTAAAAGCCATTTTTCTGGACCCCAGGCCTCGCTCAACATGGGTACAGACCATGCATAAGTGGGTACAGTAATGGATCACTGCCTAAGCTAGAGACTGCAGAGAGGCAAGACAAATACCGACTGACAGTTCCCTTCTCAGATATTCATGGAGCAGCAGCCCTGATCCATTGAGTGCAATGACATGGCATATACCAGTCACTGCCTTCACCAAGCTGACTGCACTGGAGAGGGGCAGGGAGACAATGTGTCAGAAAGTACAAGTGTGATACAACTATGAAAGGTCTCCCTCTCACAGAGACTTCTTTCAGCCACTAAGGGCTTCTTGGGCCCAAAGTGCCCCACTGTGAGTGGGAGAGGCTGTGGCTGGATGCTGTAAAGACTGGGCAGAAGGCCTAACCCCCCCCCAGATGAGTTGCCCAGGTATATCAGGCCTCTCACTCAGCTGGCTCCCTTCTGCCCCAGGTCCATATCTTCTGTGCTTGAGTTTTCATTGGAACTGTACTTCCATGTAGATCTCCAGGCTAAGCTTCTTCAGGAACAGCTAGAGCATCCTGAACCTCACAGGCCTGAGCTCCAGAGTTTGTGGGCTTGTGGGGAGGGGATATGCCTTGGAACTAATCGAAGTGCCCAGATGCTGTGTGACCCAGGAGCATGAGATCCTCAGCAGTCAGTGTGGGGATGTAGTCTGGGGGACTTTGCTGGGGCTGTGCTGGTGCACACAGCTGCCTCTGACAGGCAGTGGGAAGGTTTTGGCCCAAGAAATCCATGGACAGTTGGTGATATTTTCTCTTCCTGAAATTACAGGGCCAGTTTCAGTCCATGCATAAGTTGCACCTCCTGACCTTGTGCCAGCTCCACCTCCAGCTCCCTCACCAGCTCTGGCCCCATAGCAAGAGCCAGCACCTGGATTCCCTTGTAAATCAGCTGCAGAGCTGGACCTCCTGGGTGCTCCACAGCAGGAGTCATCTCTTGAGTTCTACCTAGGGGCAACTCTTTACCCACACCTGCCATTCCACTTTCTTCCAGTTTTATTTATCATTATATTCATGACTACTCTTATTTCTCAGAGATTTTTTTAGTGACAGAACAAAATAAATAAAATTTAATATTTTAATGAAGTTTAAAGTAATCAGCTTGCTGGCATTTAGTGTATTCTCAATGTTGTGCGGATTTCCCCACTGTCCAATTCCAGAATGTTCTTCAGATTTTTACACAATGCTTTTTTTTTCACTTTGCCCTGCTGCTCCACCCCAGCCACCAGTGGTCTTACGTCCTCATAATTAACTTATGTTACATTTCCCACATCAATGCCATCAAGTTTTCTTTGTCCAGAAAATGCTGGTAGTGACTTTTAAGGGTTAGTTAGATTTAGGTTTCTGGTTAGAGTTAGGGTTAGGGCTGGACTAAGCTTCTAAATATTGCAACATACCCACTGTAATGATCATAAAGAAAGAACAATCCAGACAAACAGTGTTTGTGCTGGCAATGTCTTGGTCCTGAGCTTGGTTCTCAATGTCTGCAACATTGAGAACAGTCACGAGTTGGTGGACTGCACCACTGGGCACAAGGTAGGTCCTAAATTCCATTCTATGCATCACATGTGCCATGGGCCTATCAAAAACATAATCAGTACACACTGTAAATAGGTACTAATAAAAAGTATGATAATTTATAAGCAAAACACACAGCAAGAAAATCCACTTCTGATATGTGGGAATAAAAGCACAACTGATGAAAAACCTCATGCAGGAAGGACACACTCTACCTGGCCAGCATTGAGTCCTTAATGCACATGCAAACATGAAGATCAAAGCATCAGCTGTCCTCAAACAAAGACCTCAATAATGGAATTTTGGGGCCAACCTTACTGTCATGGGAACTGCACTTTTATACTTCACTCTATGCAAAACCTAACAGAGAAACATAGAGATCTCACTGTGTGCTGACTACCCAAGATCCCCAGAAGCAGCTCACTTAGGAAGACATGTGAACCCACACTGCCAACAGCTGGTGATGAGTAAGTCATGGAACAGAAAGTGAAAACAAAATGCAGGCAAATCTTCTGGAGGAGCCCTCAGTTGGGCTCCCAAGTCCAGCCTTTGTAGCTCTGCTCAGACTCCTGATTTCTAGCAAAGTGATCAAAATAGCTGTCTCCTCTCTAGCCTCAGGATACAGGCTCAGAAGTAGGTGTAACACTTTCAGCTGGAGGTGCCCCTTGTCCTTCTCTATTTTCTGTCTTGGCAGAGAAAGCCTCTTGTGTTCCTCTACATTCCTCCCCTGCCTGCCCAATGGAGGTTCAAAGGCTGAGCTGCTGCCAAGTGGGCTAGGTGGAGATGGCTAGCAAGGCATTCAACATACATTTTATCAACATATTTTTATATGTGACATGATAAGAATAGGTGCCTTGCAGAGTACTTAAGGAGCTGATTTCAGTAGGGGTTGTGATGGGCATGGGTTCTCCCTAACACACATTAATGCAGTGCCTGGTTTTAACACACTATGAGCCACAGGAAAAGTGAGTCCCCATGACTTCAGGAATCAAGGGAGGCTAAGATATTCTGGTAAGTAACTCCACTGTGTACAGTGGGGTCAACAGATAACACTGTCCTTGACCTTCAGCCTGTGGATTGACTCATTTGAGCCCATTGTATGACCAGTCTGCTTGAAGGCTGCACATCTGTTGCTTGGGTAGCTGCATTCCAGGTCAAGGTAAGAAAATTTTAGAACTTTAATGCTCTGTGCATACAGAGGAGGGAGGGAATTGAGGCAGATATTTTTCACAGGGCTTAGGAAGTGATCTTCAAGGTGCAGGCATGAAACTTGGTCTCTTTTCTAAATCTGTACCCCAAAAGACATTTGGGCTTTAGGATGTTATGTGTGCCTTGGAACAGGGGACAGAGGCTTTAGTTTTGTGGGATATTAAAGTTCCCTGTGTCTGTGGTATGAGATTTTCTCAGAGGTACGGTGGAGAATGGATATTTTAGTGGGTAAAAGAAGAAGAAACCACACAGAGCCAACATTAGCAACAACAATAAACAAGCATCTTTATTATCAAGGCTGGAAATATCACTCATCATTAGGCATTACATTCTTGCATACTGTCACAAACCTTAGCGCATCCATCGCAGTCTATGCTAAGTTCTGCTTATAGACTTGTGTCCATGCTGTGCATATGCTATTCAGTTGGGTCAGTTCCATACAGGTCCTCAAAGCCTTTGGGGTTGAAACAATGGGAAGTGGTTTTCCACATTCCACCACCTCAAAGATCAGGGAAAATATGCTTATTGTAAGTGACCCATAGGGTGGACTCATGCACACAAAGACCACAACCACAATAAAGGTAAAGCATAATACCACTAATCCCACTGCAGTCCAGCTTGTGGCCACCCAGAGTGAAGTGGATCCCAAGGATTCTCTCCACTGCATGTGCAGGTATTGTTGCAAGGCCTGGAGGGCAGAGAACTCCACATCCATTTCTTTTAAAAATGTTTTTATTAAAGGAAACAATAAAAAAGGTAGCATACAGATCTCAAAAAAATTAACATCATAAAATCACTAGTTGATACATTACATATGGTCATCTTAAAAATAATTGTTAAAGTGACAAAAAAGCATAAAAAGTGGCTAAACACTCAAACATTTACAGTGAAAACCTTTCTTATAAATGATTAACAGAAATTTAGTAATATGGACATCTATCTTACACACTATACATATCATTATATCCTTAAGAGCAGTTTCCTTTCTCCTTTACAATATCTATTATACTTTTTGGATCATATTACTTTGTCATTTTTTAATATGTTTTACACCATATGCAAAATGTGATGTTTATTATTGTGAATGTTGTTTATTTCACTTATGAGTATATTCTCAAGTTGCCTCCATTTACCTGTAAAGAACTCAAGACCATCCTTTTCTATATCAAAGTGTAGTAAAAATGTATATAAATACATTTTTCATCCACTCTGCAGCTGAGGACCATTTTGGTTGTTTTCAAGTCTTAGCTATCACATATTGTGCTCCTATGAACATGGGTGCACATATATGACTGTGACATGACATTATTAGTTTTTCTGTGAAACCACTCAGGAAAGGAATAACTGGATTGAATGGAACATTCAATCCTAGTTTTTTAAGGAATCTCAATACTGATTTCCACAGTGGTTGCACCAGTCTACACTCCCACCAAATCATCAAGATTTTACACCATGACCAAGTGGGATTTACCCCAGGAACACAGGGGTAATTCTTGATGTTCCTTTTCCCCACAGTCTCACCGACAGTTGTTATCAGTTGATTTCTTGATGGCAGCCATTCTTTCTGGAGTGAGAGGAAATTTCAATGCTGTCTTAATGTGCATTTCTCAAATGATCATTAATGTTGAACATTTTTTCATATATTTATTTGCCATTTGTATATCTTTGTCTGAGAACTGTGTGTTTATATTTGATGCCCATTTGTGGAGATGGTCTTCGAATCTGTGGGGCTTGGTGTTTTTCAGTTCTTTATATGTTCTGGATATAAGTACTTTGTCTGAGTGGCTGTTTGCTAAAATTCTTTCCCATTTTGCGAGTTTACTTTTCACTTAGTTGTTGATTTTTTTTGAAGTGCAAAAATGTTTTAATAATATGAGATCCCAGTTGTTGGTTCTTTGAAGTATTTCCTATGTGGTTTGCATTTTATTCACAAATTCTCTGCCAACCCCAATGTCCCCAAGTTTTCTACCTACCTTGTTCTCTAGTTGATTTAGTGTTTCTTTTTTAGTATTTAGATCCTTGATCTACTTACACTTTAGTTTAGTGTATGGTGATAAACATGCATGTAGTTTCAGTGTTCAGAATATGGAAAGCCAATTTTTCCAATACCATTTATTATGGAGGCTATCTTTCTTCTAGGGAACATATTTACCCCATTTGTCAAATATAAAGTTGCTGGTAGTGTTTGCATCTTCTAATTTATTCCATTGATCCTCAGGTCTCTGCCAGCACTATGCTGATTTTTATTACTGTGACTCTGTAGTATAGTTTTAAGTTAGGAGTTGAGACCCCTCCTGTCTTGCCTTTGTTACTCAAAAACGCCTTTGCTATTCAATGTTTCTTCTGTTTCCAGGTGAATTGTAGGAATATTTTCTTTTGATCTGCAAGGTATGTTAATGGTATTTTGATTGGGACTGAATTGAATCTGTGTAACAGTCTTGGGAGTATCGCCATTTTCACAGTGTTGGTTGTTCCTAACCACAATCAAGGAATATCCCTCAATTTTCTAATATCCTCCTCAATCTCTTTTTTTAGAGTAGTATAATTTTCAGCACATAACCCTTTTATATTCTTGGCTAGGTTGATAACTAAGTATTTCATTACTTTAGGTGCTATTATGAAAGGTGATATTTCCATAATTTCTCTCTCATGGTGTTTGGGTACAGGAATGCTATTGATTTTTTTGAGCATTCATTTTGTATCCAGCTAGGCTGCTGAATTTGTTTATTACCTTTAGTGGTTTTCTAATGGAGTTTTTGGGGTCTTCTATGTGAAATATCATGTCATCTGCAAGTAATGATAATTTAACTTATTTTTATTCTTCTTACTTCACCCTTTTGTCTCATTGCTCTGAATAATACTTGCAGAACTATATTGAAGAGGAGTTGTGATAGTGGACATCTGTGTCTTCTTCCTGATTTTAGTGTGAAGGCTTTCAATTTTTGTCCATTTAGTATAACGTTGGCCGTAGGTTTGCCATCAATGGTCTTTATGAGATTGAGGTAGATACCATCTATTCCAAGTTTCTGTAGGCTTTTCATCATGCACAGGTTTTGGACTCTATAAACAGCTTTTTCTGCCTCTTTTGAGATGATCATGTGATTTTTAGTTTTGGCTCTGTTAATGTGGAGTATTTCATTTATTGACGTATTCACACTTGGTCATAATGTATAATCTTCTTGCTGATTTGCTGCATTCTATTTACTAATATATTATTGAGAATCTCTGCATGAATGTTCATGAGTGAGACTGGCATTTAGTTCTCCTTATTGGTTGGGTCTTTTTCTGATTTTGGTATCAGAGTGATACTTGCTTCTAAGAATGAAGTTAGGCAGGACTGATTGTCTTTCAATTTCATTGAAGAGTTTAAGGAGTATTGAAGTTTGATCTCTAAAGTTTGTATGGAATTCAGCCATGAATTCATCAGAACCTGGGCTTTTGGTAAGTTTTTGAATTGTTTTTAATTTCAGTAGCTGATGCTGGGTTATTCAAAATTATTTTATCTTCTTTATTGAGCTTTGATAGTTCATGAGGTTAGAAATCTGTCCATTTCCTCTGAGCTTTCAACTCTCTGTGAATAGAGATTTTCAGAGTAGGTATTCATGAAATTTTGAATTTCCATGGAATCTGTAGTAATTTCCCTCTTTTCAGTCATTATTGGGTGGATTTTAGTTTTCTTTCTTTTTCTTGATAAGGCTGGCCAGGGGATTGTCAATTATGTTTATTCTCTCAAATACACCCCAACTGATTCCTTAATTCTTTGTAACATTTTTTTTCAGTTTCAATTGCATTAATTTCTGCTCTAATCTTTAAAATTTCCTCTCTTCTATCAGTGTTGGGTTTGACTTGCTCTTTTTCGAGAAACTTGACATGTAGCATTAGGTTATTTATTTGTGTTCATTCCATTTTCTTCATGTGACTATTTATTGTTATATATTTCCCTCTGAGGACTGCTTTATTACGCTCCATAGGTTACACTATGTTGTATCTGCGTTTTCACTGTATTGTAAGTATTGTATTGTTTGCCCTTTAATTTCATCTGTAACACACTGGTTATTCAGAAAGTTGTTATTTAATTTCCATGTATATGAATGCTTTGCACTTTTTTGCCATTGATTTCCAATTTTACTGAGATATGTTCTGATATTATGCATGGGATAATTTAGTTCCTTTTGCACTTAGTTAAGCACATTGTGTGGGTTAATATATGATCTATTTTGGAGAAGGTCCCATGTACAGCTAAGAAGAATATGTATTCTAATATAAATTATGATGTGGTTGGGTGGAACACTCTGTAAACATCCATCAAGTCCATTTGCTCACAGGTATTATTCAGTGCTGTTATTTCTTTGTTGACTTTTTGTCTCATTGATCTATCTCTAACAGTGGTGTGTTAAAGTCTCCTACTGCAAATTATATATTTGTACTTGGTTTTTCATATCCATTAGTATTTGTGTGTATAGTTGGGTGCTCCTGTATTTGGTGCATATATATTTGTAATTCTTCCTCTTGCATTTTCTCACTTACATGTATCTAGTGGCCTTCTTTATCTCCTTTAAATATTTTAGGTTTAAAGTTCACATTTTCTACAAACAGAATAGCTACCCCGCTTTTTTTTTTTTGGTTCCTGTTTCATGTAAAACTGTTTTCCATCCTTTCTCTTTTAATCTATGAATTTTGAGTAAGATGTGTTTGTACAGTACACTGTGGGGTCCTGTTTCTTGATCCATTCTGTCAACCTATTTCTTTTTATAGGTGAGTTATGCCCATTTACCTTTATGGATATCACTGATATGTACTGACTTGATTTGCCATGTTGTATTCTTGTTGTTGATTTCCTGCTTTTCTCCCTTATTCAATTTCTTGCCCAGCCTGGTCATTTCTTTCTGTTGTTCTGGAGATTGTGGTCATTTTTCTTTCTATCTAGCATGTCTTTCAGTAATCCTTCTGGGGTTGGTTTGGTGGGCATGAATTTCTTCACTTGTTCTTTGTCATTGAAGTACCCTGTTTCTCCATTAAATTTGAAAGACACTTTTTCTGGGTACATCAGTCTAGGTTGAAAGTTGTTTTCTGTTAGGGCTTGAAATTGTTCACTCCAAGCTCATCTTAACCTGAAGGTTTGTGCTGAAAAGTTTGCCTTAATGGTAATCATAGTCTTTCCTGGACAGGTGGGTTGTGTCTTGTCTTTAACAGTTTTAGTATTCTGTTTTTAAGCTGTATGTCTGGGATCTTAATTATTATATGTTTGACCATAGACCTATGTTTGTTGTGACTGTTTTGGACTTTGTGTGTCTCACTTTTTTGTATATCAGAATTTTCCTCATGTTTGGAAATTTTTCTGTTGTTATTTATGTGAACAGCTTAGTTATGTCATTTGCATTGACTCCTGCATCTTCACTGATGTCTATTAGTCTTACATTGCTTCTCTTGGCATCATGTTGAAGCTGCTGGATTGTCATTTCATGATGCTTTGCTATTTTTATATGTTCTACACTTTCATGATCACTCCCTGCAATACTGTCTTCAAATTATGAAATTCTATCCTGAGCTTCATTTAAATGGTATTGCCAGCTTTCAATATATTTTTTTGTTGCTTGGATATCTCTTTGCATATGTTTTGTAGATTCTGCTTGTTTTCTACATTGTTCATTCATAGTTTCAATTTACCATGCTCCTGTATTTTTTGTTTTTATCAATTTCTTCTCTTGCTATGTTAAGTAACTTGTTTACTACAGTAGTTACTTCTGTTATTTCTTTACATGAGACATTATTTCTAATTTGATTTCCTCTATAGCTTCATGGATTTGTTTCTTTACTTCATTTGCTATCTTTGAAGTTTCTGATTCATGACTTTTAAAGTCCTCTATTTCAATGTCGGTTGTTCTTGCTCCTGATGGACGAGATGTTTGAGATTGCATTTTGCCTTTTCTTTTTGTCATTTTCCCATAGGTATAACACCCATGGTGTGACTGTTTCACTCACGTTTTGCTTTAACTCTTTCGGCCACTCCCATTTTCCAAAGCTGTCTAGATTGTACACATGTATTATGGGCAGAGAGGAACAGTCCCCCTGCTTGGGCTAGGGGCTCCTCTACCTCCATCTTCTGTCAAGTCATAGGCCTGTCATGCAATACAAAGTAACTCTCACAAGAACTGTCCTAGTCATGGGGCCTTAACTTCAGGAGAAGCCTGTACTCCCTGGGTCCTGCAGTGTGAATCACAGGAGCCAGCTGTGATTCCAAGTCCTCGAGTGGACTCACAAGTCTATCACTTCTAAGGCCTTCAACATGCACTAGGCAGTCACATGAACCCTTTCCAGTTTCTACATGCCTCCTATCATTGTCAATTACCAGGTAAGTGAATATTCATCCCACAAGAGAAACCCTGTTTATTTTTTGAAGAGCACAAGGGAGACTTTCATTTTTGATCAAAACACACTGGTAATGGTGAGGAAGTGCACGAAGGAAATTTCTTCTGTCTTGCTTGGGGTACATTCACTTCAGATACCATTTGGCATTTATTTCAGATTAACTCATCTGACTATCTTAGGATTCTGTGCGTACAATCCTCTACGTCATGAAGAGAATTTTATAAGATATTCACTTCAACTTTGTTTCCAACAACTGAAAACTGCAATGTGAATATCCAATAACATTTGAATGAATAAACAAATCACAGCAAACCATGAAGTGAGAACCTACTAAAGAAAATCCATAAGAAAATACTGTACAGAAATCTCACTGTACATAATCTTTAATGACTATGATTGGTGAAAGAAGGCAGAGAGGTTAAATTCTGTCCAGTCATTACATACATTTTCAAAATATGACAAGACACGTGTGATAGAAGACAGGTCAGTTCATATAAGAGATAAACTCTGTTCTCTCAGAGTTGCTGTGTATCAGGAATCCAGGAGGCTTTGCTGGGTCTGCTACCATCATATCTCTGTGAAGACAGACTAAGGGGAGATGGCACTAGGGCAAAATTTTCTCTCAGGCTCTGCCTCTTGCTTACAGGCAGGATCCAAGGCAAAAGCCTGATTCCTTTTGGAGTGTTTCCCCTTTTCTCACTCAAAGCTCATCAGCCTCTCCTCTTGCAATCTTCAGAGACAGCGGTAGCTTCCCCACAGCCAGAGATCCAGAGATGGAGAAAAATGAGTACTGAAATACAAGAGAGAACACAAGAGGGAAAGAACAGAAGATGCATAACAGTTATTTTAATGCGTGAACCTTAGTATTCACATCACATGATATCTGCCATATTCAGTTAGTTAAGAGTAAGTCAGAAGCTGGTGAGAGAGCTCAGCGTAGAGTACTTGCTTACCATACATGAGGCCCTGGGCTTAATTTCAGCACTGCTAATGCAAAATAACAACTCTAATAATAATAATAATAATTCACTACGTGAGGCCCATAATGTAGGGAATGGGCTACTCAGCTTTTGGCATGAGAAGGTCAGCATTCAGCTATTGAGTAGGAGTCAGGTCATGGGAGTGCTAATTCAAACAGTTGTGAATGTAGAAGCAATGCCAGAAGATTTGGGGGTGCAAATCCATCCATAGTGCTTGCATAGCCTGTGTGAGGTCCTGACTCAAGGCCATAACACCAGTACATAGCAGAGATTGTGATGCTTAGGGAACATAAAGATGATTGAATTGAAGAACTTCTGCCCCCTCACAATGCCACCAGGAATATATCCAGGAAGTCAGTGTCATTTCTACCACCAGGCAGCACTGTGTTCCACATTCATTGCACCCGTTACTGGATTTAACGTCTAATTCTGTACACTATGTACACAAGACACCAGCCACCAGCCAAACTGTCATCTCAGACTGGTGATAATGTCCCTAGGAAGTAGATGCCAGGATGACCTTTATAGTGCATGAGGACACTCTGTGAAAGACCTGAGGCATGGTGTCTTGTCTAGGTTTATGTAGGAAATCAGGAGGAGGATTTGGGTCTAAACCCAGATCTTTCTCCTCAGAACTGTGACCCTGTCAGCACTGCTGGTTTTTCTTAGCCTTGGGGAAGCCTTGCCTCCTACCATGGATCTGTCACTTGGGTGAAGCTGTTCTCTTCATTGTGAAGGACACCGGAGAGTCATTCCACAGGCTTCCAAGGTATCCACAGCAGGAATCTCTGGGGGATAACATAGGACACAGGTTCACACAGACATCATAAAAGGAGCTGGTGAGTGCCTTTAACCACCAATTTAGTAGGCTGTGACCCTGATGCAATGACCAGAGCAAATGTAGCCACTGTTCTCTTGTGATTCCATGTTATCCAGGACACAACTCCCTCTAAAGAACAGATCAGGTACTATCCACATTACTGTGAATGTTCCTAACTTCCTGGACTCTGTATATGTGAACACATAATAGGGGAAGAGGTGTCCCCAGAAGGCACACATAATGGAATGATGCATCACTATATGAACTGAAGAGGAAGGGATGGCAGGCAGAACACACTCCCTCTGACTACTCACTTCACAGATATTTACATTGCAGCAAACCTGTAGAGTAAGCTCAAGTAGAGTAACACTGTAGACACCATTCTCTTTCTCACAGAGACACAACCACGAGGGTGGGAAAGGAAGATGGATTTCATGCTTTCGTAAAGAATGGAGTACAGGTGGTCACAGCACTTTTAGGGACTGCTATCAGCAGGGGAAGGCTTCCTGGGACAGCACTGTACCATTCAAGGCAGAGAGAAGGCTGGGCTGGACTCTCTGCAATTGGAGCAGGAGGCTGGTGTCCAATTCTACAAGATGTCCCAGCGGAATTGGACAAGCCTGAGCTCACTGAACCTGAGCACTGCCTTCAGAAGATTTTGGCTTTGGCCTGTGGACCTCTGAGGAGTGCATGAGACACTTGACAAGGAGAAAGACTGCCAGTCTTGGGACCTCCTGCAAACCTGAGGCATGCAGAAATGAGTTGGTCAAAGCTGAATGGGAAATGTGCTGGGGTGGATTTGTGCACAGAGTTGTCTGTGACAGGCACTTGGAGGTTCTAGGGCCTGCAAGGAGCAAGAATAGTTGGTGATTGTTCTACTTCTGCTGATGTAGGGCTGGTACCTGACTAACCTCAAGTCCCAACTGCAGAGCTTTGGACATCTGCACCTCCAATGACCTCACCAGCTCTGGGATCAAAGTGAAAACTAAGGTCAGACACCCTGTCTTAAGGAATTCCCTAACTGGCACTTTTACTCATTCCATGATAGATGTCTTGAACTCCACTTAGGGCCAAGTCCTGCAAAACACCTGCTTTTACCTTCCCATCCCCTTGTAACCTCTCCCCTGTATTTCTTTCAGTTTTGATTTTTACTTCTATGTCTATATTCTCAACATCAAATTCTAAGGTAATTTTAATTAAAAGTTAAGATATCATGCATCTCAATATATTTAATTCAGTAGCACATCATCACATCACCAATTTGTACACCTTACACATCCATTGAGTTCCAGCACTCTGCTCAGTTTTGGACCCTTCCATATCCTTGTACTCTCTTGCTACTCCCCACCCACTCTGACTTTTTCACCCTGTGATTTAATACTCTGGGTCTTTAATGTTCATGCATCAGATTATGTTTGGCCAAATATTCCTAGAGGAGACTGGCTGCTATTGCTCTTCGAGAGAAGAGAAAATCCCAGGTAGACCAAAATGTATAGGTAAAATGTGAAGACTATTATTTATCTACTCATCTTTTCATATTGGAAAAGCTTTCCCATGATTTCAGTGGTACAAGGAAGAGAGAAAGATCTAATTCTTTACATTTGAAAAAAACAGAAACAAGAATAATGTAGAATCCACAATAAGAAATCTTTGCTTGCAAGCAGCAGGCAGATAAATATTTTCTATTAGAAGTGACAAAGTGGTGTCATGAGTCCATTCTGTGAGAGATGAAAAATTCTTGTAATTCAAAAGAGAATCACCACATGTAAACAAATGTAGAAAACGCTGAGCTTCCCAAAGCTGATTCATGCAGGCACACACCCCTGACATGTGCTGTGTCCCCATCTGATGGCAGGTTTTAAGGCAAGTGCTGAACATCACTGGGGAGAACATGGTGTTCAGAGAAGAGCCCTTTCCAGTAGCTCCCATCACAGCTCTACACAGGTGTCCCCGGACCTTGCAGTGCTCAGAATAGAGATTTAACCCACACAGAGATCCGCATAACTTTTCAAGCTTTCTGTTCAAGACTGTGGTTCACAGCACTGTTTAAAGCAGGAGGAAACTGGGAGGCTTGCTACACTCCCATAGTGAGTTCAAGGCATCAGAGTGGGTCACGAGAACCAGGGAAAGTTGCTGGGATGCTGAGCTCAGTCTCTCTGTGCCCACAGGGAAAGAGGATAAGGAAACTGATCATGAAATAATACAAGGATGAGAGAAGAATGTGTGCATGGAGGATCTTGGTTTTGAAAATGAAATGTCTCTGACATCAGTGTGTGTCCACACACAGACATGTAAGAATCTATGCCCAAGAATGTTATCTCATCAGTGTACTTACTTATGCAAACCCTGACTCAAAATAAAAAATAAATTTAAAAACAGAATTTACTGTAGCTCAGTGCAAGGGCCTGCATTCAATTCCCAGAATTGAGTTAAGGAAAAAAAAATGGAAGCCAGCTGAAGCGCTGCTGAACACCATCACCTGATCTTTCTGGAGAGCAGCGTGCCCCAAGCAGCTTGAGCCTCCACATCTTTCTTGGGCACTTTGATTTTAAAGAATGATCAGTTCAATGAGGGATGGGGAAAGGAGGATTTTCATCCAAGAATACAAAGTCTCATTAACAATGGGGAAGAAATTTTCAATGATTATTAAACTGCATGGTGACCACAGTAAATAAGAAGGCTAGCTTTCAAAACTGCTAAAAAATGGGATTTGCAGTTATAGTCACTGTGAAAGTATTTGTAGGTTAGTAAGGTGGTAGGCACATTAACTAGATTGATTCTTTCTACAAAGGAGCCATAGATCAAGAGGATATGTTACCCCACAAACATTCATAATTATTGTGAATTACCAAAGGAGGATATCCTATACCTGTACTCCCAGCACTCTGAGAGGGTGAGGAAGGAGGACCACAAGTTTAAACCCAACTTGGAAAGGTCAGTAAATTATTTAGAGACTGTCTCAAAACTTAAAAAAAAAGCAACAACACATTTTTAAAGTGCATGGGCATATAGCTCATACAGAAATTGCTGTGATCACTGAACACAGTGCATTAACCACTATTCTGTTATGAAAAAATTTAATCTATTTATAAAAGTGTTTTCATACTTTATTAATATTTACCTGTGCTACATTAAAATAAAAAAGAGGAAAAAAAGTGTTTTTTTGTTTCTTTTATTTTCCTTTGAGAGAAGGTATTGGTATGTACTGCAGGCTGACCTTGACTCAACAAGTATTTCAGGCTAGCCTTGAACTCCCTGTGATCCTCATGTCTAACCCTCTCGTGTGCTGAGATTACAGCCATGCACCACCATGCCTTGCAAGAAAGTGTTTTTTTTTATTGTAAAGAGGATAAAACCAAATGAAATAAAACAGAATTGAGTCAATAAAAACAAAAGGATGAACATGGTACATCAGTTAAAAATAAAATCCAACAGTAAGTTATGTGGCCTCTCAGCTGGTACAGAAAATGGCTCCACACCTTGCTGAACTCCAAATTTCTCCAGATAATTGGGCAAATACCTAAATTTTGCAAGGTATCTACTGTTAACATGTCTTGTCTACGAAGCAATTCATATCAAGTGCCAGGGAAAGAACACAGAACTTTGATTTACTATTTCCAATGTCTGGAATTTACCCAAGAAAAAAAGATATATGCTCAACGCAGTTTTTCTAAGAGGAACTAGACTTGTGTACATGGTCAGTAACAGGATAACTAAGTAAAACTCTACCTATGCATATAATATAAATATTCAACTCTACGCAAATACATAAATGATGTGAGCAGAAATGAGTAGTATGGTTAGAGACAGCTGATTACGGGCAAGATGGGTATTCTGCAGCAGGTTCAACAATGTGGGTGAATTATTTTTATTTGTGGATTTAAATTTTTAAATTGTTGATCACACTTCCTCATTCCTCAAAGCCCCATGCCACATCCAGACTCCTCACAAAGCTTAAACACCCAAGAGGAGCCAATATTAAAACAAGCAGAAAGCCCTTATCAGTGGAATGGACTGGAGACAAAGTATGTGCAGGTAGAATAATAACTGCTTTCTTACTGTAACTTCTCAGTCCTCTGTCTCTGCAGGAGCTTTGAATGGAATGAAATTCACCTTTTGAAAGGGGTAAATGTCCGCGGCTCAGCATAGCCAGGCTCAGTGACAGCACAGGCCATGTGAGACCCTGAGCCGCCCTGCCACAGGTCCCACACCAGGGCTGGGCTCCCAACAGCACCTGGGGGGGCCAAGGATCCCGGGCCATGTGCCAGGCCTGGCCATGTGGACCCCGACAGAGAGGAGGGAGGAAAGAAGAGAGGGCCCTGAAGACCTGAGGCTAGGTCGCCCCAGTGCCGTGCCCACCGCCTCCCCGAAACCCCGACCAAGGGAAACTGTGCCGCTAAAGTTGGGGCCACCGGGCAGCGCCACCATTCAACACCGGCTGCCGCCCGCCTACCTGGCCCAGACCCCAGTCCCAGCCCAGCCACAGCCTAGGCCAATAAAGGAAGGAAGAGTGCTCAGGTCTCCAGAAGGGGTCGCTAGCAGCAAAACGGCCACTCCGTGCATCCACTGTGAAGTGAGGCCGGGGCAGGGCGGGACTGAGTGGGATGTGGAGGCCAGTGGCTAGGGAACATCCCTGCGCGCTGGCCGCCCAGGTTGGGCCGGGTGGAGTGTAATCTTCGCTGGCGGCCAGGGGGTGGGGCCAAGCGAAGTGAGTGGCGGGCCAGAAGCTGGGACCCAGGAGGTGCAGAGCCCTGCAGGAAGTAAGAATGAGGCAGTGGGCGTGGCAGTGGGGGTTAGGGTTTCTCTGACGCTGGGTGTGGCTGCAGGTTGAGCTTCTGGGAGACTCAGCCCCAGGCCTACTGTGAGAGGAAGCAGAGGAGTGGACTGAGTCTGAGGCTTGTAATTTATAGATGTCTGGATTCAAATCTTTCCGGGCCTGACACCTTAAGTAAACTGCTTCTCTTCTGG